TCACGGATACAAAAGATAATGTTTTGACAAAGCTAATATTCCAACATTCCTTCTATAAAAAAAAATAAAATTACAATTTATAAAATGTTACAACATCTCGATAAAGCTAAAAACAAGTAAAATCTAATAGAAAGCTTTACAAAATATAATGTCTTGAGGCACTTTCACTTGTTACTAGTGCTTTCACGGAAAAACAATGTCTCGAGAACAATACCGCGGCTACAAAATAATAATAGTAAAGAAATTACTTAAAAAGACTTCTTCGGGCACTTTTAGCTGCAAAATCATCAATTATGTCTCCATAATCAAGATTTTCAATAATATCCTTCTCAATGCATAGAATAGCCAACCCGTTCAATCTATCTTGACTCATGGATGTTCTCAAATAAGATTTCAACAACTTCAATTTAGAAAAACTTCTTTCTGCCGATGCTACAGTTACAGGCAAAGTCAATAATAATCGATACGCAATCATTACATGGGGAAACATATCCATATCTTTTGCAAATTGCATTATTTTAATGGATGTCCATGGCTCATTTTTTTCATACGATTCATTAGGTAACATTAGTTGCAATACTTGTAATTCTGAACATAAGCATTTCCCATCAATGTCTGAAACATCATTAACTTTTAAAGCCACTTCAAGGTTCATACAAGATATTTTCAATTCTTCATCATTCAATGAAACTAAAGTTGCCGCATCAAATAAGAAACCAAACATAGATTGAAAAAGTTTCATTTGTTCAAACCTGCTTTTAAGTTGAGAAATAGCCATGTCGACTACAACAAGAAAATAATCAGTTCTAAACGATTCTTGAGCGGAGTGCTCTTCTCGTTCAGTGTTTAGAACTTCATCAAAATGCCTTTTTCTACATATACGGCGTTTTTCCGGAAACACAGGTTCAGTTCCCATTTCATTAGCAATCTCTTTAGCAGTAATCATAGCAGAATCAAATCCAATATTCCTATATTTCTCAAAGTATGAAATAAGTCCATTCAAACATTTCACGGCAACATCAATACGCATGTCCTCAGATTGTAGTGTTTTACTAGCCATGTTAATTTTATCCAAAACATCATACCAAACAACCAAGGTCAACAAAAATTCAAAACTAGAAAGTTCACCTGATGCTAAGCTTTCAACATCCCTACTCAATTTGGGATCTTCACTAATTTCAGCTAATTTAAATAAAGCGTCTCTTATTTGAAATATTTGAGATTTTATGGCTTTGACACTTCCAATATGACTCTCCCAACGCGTAGTAGAAAGTGATTTCAAAGTTAAACCATCAACATATTCAAGCAAAAGATTCCAACGCTTTGTTGAATTTGCAAACACTGTATATATGCATTGACATGCCCCAAAAAATGATTTTGCTTTTAAGCAAGATTTAACCATATCGCAAAGTGTTAAGTTAAGGCAATGTGCACCACAAGGCATGTAAAAGGCTCTAGGATTAATGTCAAGTAATCTTTTTTGAACGCCTTGGTTTTTTCCTTTCATATTAGAACCATTATCATAGCCTTGCCCTCTCACATTATGAATGTTTAGATCAAGTGTCTCGAGCACGTCTTGCAATTCATTAAAAAGCCCCAACCAAGTAGTATCCTCCACATGTATAAACTCTAAAAAAAACTCTTCAACTCGTATAGGATTGATCGACACATCAACACATCTTATAATCAAAGTCAGTTGTTCTTTGTGACTTGCATCAGGTGTACAATCAAGTATCACAGAGAAAAACTTGGCTTTTTTAATTTTTTCAACAATCACACTTTTCACTTTAGATGCTAAGGTAGCTATCAACTCATTTTGAATTTTATGACTAAGGTAATGGTTATGAAATTTCTTATCTCTAATAAGTTGAAAATGATCTCACATTATTGGATCAAACTCCGCAATCATCTCGAGTAGGCCTAAAAAGTTACCATTTGAATCTTCATATGGTTTTTCTTTTGCACCACGAAAGGCCATGTTATTTGTAGCAAGACATTTAACGACAACAATAATTCTAAGCATAACATCTCTCCAATGTGAAGTCTCTTTTTTTATTTGATCTTGCAATTCTTTATCAATAGTTTGACTCTTTCCCAATCTAGCCTTTAGTTCAACCCACGCTCTCATGTTAGAAAGGTGTTCGATACTATTTCCGTGTTCAATAAGCTTCGCACCCATATGTTTCCAATCTTTGCTCCCCTCACTAGCTAATTGACTTCTTGATGGCGTATTTTTAAACAACTTGCAACAAAAACAAAACACTTTATCTAATTCTTTCGAGTATATTAACCATTTTCTATCACAAGTCTCTCCACTTGATATTGTTCGTACATAAAATGCATCAGAAAAATGCCTAGAAATTCCATCAAGGGGATATTGAAAATTAGATTCTCTTTTAGGTCCTATTTCCACTAATAAACATCGCATTTTATCATCTAAAGAATCCCAAACTCTAGGATCAAATATATTTACAAACATGTTCTCTTCACCAATAACTTCGAAAGCCCTAGCCTCATTTTTATCATTTTGAGACTCACTTGGATCATTGGTACCTTCATTCACGTCATTAACGGTTATATTTTCTTCATTATTTATAAGATTATCTTGTATCGTGTTAGTTTCAATTGGAATATCATTCTTTTTAAGAATGAATTTATCCATTGGACCTTTTAATGATTGAGTTATCTCCTCATTGGTTTTTTTTTTTTTTTTTTTTTTCCTCTTTTGATATCCAGATAGTTGTTTTCTCGAAATCATTATAAGTTTCAAATAATCAAAACAATAAATATAAATCACAAACAGTTATCACAAAGAATTTTAAGTTTCAAATAATAAATTTAGAAATCCACTATAAGGTTCAAATAATAACAAGTTAACACTTAACAATTATAACAACTTATAATTTAACTTAACCGACACAGTAAATATAAATACCAAAGAACAGCAAAAAAATAAATTTATAAATCCACTAATCCAATTCCAAGCTAATCACTAATCAGTAATCACTACACATGAAGTGGAACTGTGGAAGACTACCAAACACTACCAAACAGAGAAAAAATATAAATCAAGTAAAAAAAAAAGTAGTTAAATCAAATATTGAATCAAACAAAAAAAGTTAAATTCTCAAAACATGTAAACACTAAACAGATAAAATCAACACAGATAAACAAGCATTTGATATAATCCCAATTTAGAAATCAAACTAAAATTCGAGAATAAAAAACCAAAAGGATGATTTTTTGTTCACCTTAATCGCGCGGAGGAGAATGCGGCCCACCAGAAGGTGTCGACAGTGATGACGTTAGGCCCGGTTCTAGACTTGTGGCAAACGGCGAGCCCGGCGAGGTTACAAATTAACAACTCTAGATCTCTAAGATTCAAAATAAATATTTATTCAATCCCAAAATAAATAAAAGATTCAAAATATCTAGATCTCTAAGACTAAGATTGTGGCAACTCGGAAGTAACAAATTAATAATTTTGCTGATCAGTGACAGTGATATTGGATCGAAGCAAATTGAATGAAGTTGAATATAAAAAAAGAAAATTGAAAAGGCTATTTATAATCCATAAAATTGATTAACTTACCGTTGGAATTTTGGAATGATAGTCGAGAATCTCGAGATATTATGCTGAAGATTGAAGTTAGCTGTTGGGAAGATGATAAGGTCGAAGAGACGAAGACGACAGATCGGCCTCCTTTTTTGTTCGCATCGCTAGTCTTCATTAATTAAGCTTTTATTTAATTTTTTTTTTAATCCTAAGCATTTGGAATTGGAAGCAGAAACAGAAAAGCCACGCCTTTAAGGCTTTATGCACGGCTCTTCAGGTAATTAGTGGATATGGGCTTTTTTTAAATTTAATTGGGTCCAATCAATAATATGTATATGATATATATATAAAGGAAAATGGGTAGCTGGTGCCCCTTGGTTTAGTTGGGCCCTGGGCCGTCGCCCAGGCTGCCCTGGGCCTGGGCCGGCTCTGCCTCCGACCACGGCCTAATCGAGTCTCCGACCACGGCCTCGCACGGAGGATCATCAACGGGTCTGTTGGTCGTCTCCGGCGTCGTCTGCTGGTCGTCTCAGGCGTCGTGCTGTTGGTCGTCTCCGACATCGTTTTCCTGTTCCAGCACCAGAAGCGGAAAATGAAAGCGGACGGGGTGCATTTGCGTTTGCTGTCTCGAGTTCAATTGGGGTGCTATTGGCATTATAATAGAAAATGACTCAGGGCCCAGTTGCCGACTGACGAACTGGTGTCAATGGGCGTGGCTTGTGCAGTGTTTATCTATGTTTCCATCAATCATTTGTTGTACAAAGTGTATAAGCCTTAGAAGGAAATCTCATTCGACACTCCAGGGACACTCCAGGGTATAGGTTAATAGCTGTCTTGTTGGGGGTTGGGGTAATTGTTGTCATGATTTGGGATACCTAGTTCATTGCAATTTGTTTTGTTTTAGAATGATCATTAGGCTCAATTATTTGTGTACAATGTGGCTGTAGTTGATATGATATGGGATGTCTGATTATACTGTGTATGTTTAACACTTTGGTAAAATATATAGCTTTGTGAGACAAATGAAGACACGTTGGAGTTTCATTTTTTTTTTCCTTTCTGGAACATAAATGGTTGCTGTTGCATGAAAATAAAGCTGACGGGCATGATGCTCATGGTTGTTTGAACATGACACTGTCCACAGGAAATAAAAGATATTGAGACTGTTATGGCTGGTGCATGGAAATAAAGTTGAGGCTGTTATGGTTGGTGCATGGAATAAAAGATGTTGAATAGAAATATAGTTGAGGAAAATGTTTTGGGAAAATGGGGCAAACAAAAAAGCTACATGGAAATCCACGGAGAAATGAAACAAAGTAATCCATATAAATTATAAAAAACAATAGAAAGTACATGTGAGAGTTCAGATTCAAGAAAAGAGGTTAATAAAAGTATGAAAGCAAGACAAATAAAAGTTAAATAAAAAAATCATCTAGATATGCATCTAAATATTAAACTTGCCAGGAACTACAAATTTCCTGCATCAAATACCATAAATGTAAAAAGGTTGAGATTTAAGAGCTGGCCAGGAACTACAAATCTCGAGCACGAATTAAGAATCCAACTGCTGCTCAAACAATTAACATTAAAAATGCATCCCAATGTCTATTCAAACAAACCACAAACATATCTAAAATTGTAAGTAACAAAAATCGTTTAATGTCTCATTAAAAACAAAACCAGTCATCGGAAAAATTACTCACTACTAAAATAAATATCTCAAATATCAGAGCAACTGGAATTTGTCACTTTTGACATGTCTGGACGATATGGATCATCTTCAAGGTGATTGCTATGACTGGGACATTTGCGCCTTGTCATGACCCCTCTGTCCACACAAACTACAAGATCGAGCGCTTTGAGATATGACTTTCTCTTTACTCGACTTCAGACGCTTGCCACAACCTTTAGTTCGTATAGGCTCAGGGTCGCATACAAAAAATGTCTCTAGACCTTCTGCTTTTACTCAATTGCTTGCTCATGCATTCCTTGTCATCAATCTGACCAACTTCCCATTTCCAAACTTTGAGCTTTTCCATTAGAAACTTGCTTCTCGCCTCAGTCAACGATGCATCATCGATGAGCTCTCTTGTTATTTTCATCAGCGCACCACGCCTGCCTTGCAAAGATTCACCTACTTCAAAATCAAATGGTGCATCATAAATAAGATCACACTTTGCATCCTTCGTCCACTTTTTCTTCACGTACTTTTCAGGTACTAACATAACTTGTTCAACCCTCATCCAACATAGCATATGTCGACAAGGATATCCTTCAAACTCAAAATTTTTACAGCTACACGCTATAAAATCTTCAGGGACATCATATGTCAAAAGTCGCCGACGTCGAGTATTCATTTCAATATCAAACTGCCAAACTTCATAAACTCGAGAATCGTTTGAACTTGAGACCATGTTGCAAATAGAGCTCGCACTTCCATCGAACTCTTTCTGGAATAACAAAAATATAGACTTCGTATAAATCTCTGCCATCTGTTTTTCCATAGCAAATGAGGTGTTGATCCACGGCTTTTCATTTAGATCAACATGACTAGCCATTAATTCTTCATGTCTCTGATGCGCAATAGCCCTACTAAAACGAGTAAAAAAGTCATTTAATGAACATTTTTTGTCTAGGTACCTTTTGAAGAATGCGTGATTACTCTCAACTCGTTGGCTACTGGACATACCTGCTGCAAAAACACCCCTTACATAAGCTGGAACCCAACGATGGCGGATTTCATATATCTTTGACAACCATCCATTACCATTCAATTGAGAATCACTCATCAACGAATTCCACCTGAACTCAAACTCATTGGGAGTTTCAGAATCATTAATAATACCACTTAAAGTATGATAGTGTAACTTATGAAGAACAAGACCGAGCTTTTCTGAAAATTTGTTCAGAATGTGCCAAATACAATATCGATGCATAGTCTTCGAAAACACCTCAGCCACAACAATTGATATAGCCGCATCTTGATCAGTGATAATAATTTGTGGATGTGGCTAGTCTGCCATTGCTTTTATAAAATTAGAGAATAACTAAACAAATGATTCTGCTTTCTCGTCACTGAGTAATGCACAACCAAATACAGTGGTCTGCCTATGATGATTAACACCAACAAAAGGTGCAAACACCATTCCATATTTATTCGTATTATATGTGGTGTCAAAGACAACTGCATTTTCAAACACTGCATATGAATTTCTTCATTCACTATCGGCTCAGAAACACCTGGTAAAAACACCATCCTCATTTGTCTCATAAACATAATAAAAGTTCTCATTCTTCTCCTTTTCCATTTCAAATTGGTGAATCAAAGTTTGTGCATCATGTCCACTTAACTCAGCTTTACGTGCTGCTTCTTTATTTCGGATATCCTTCTCCAAACAACCCATCATAGAGGGACCACCAGAATCAATTTCAAACAATCTAACTTGTTTGCATGTGGGTATATTTGCCTCCGTGTATACCTGGACAAGCGCTCTTTTTGTGGCTGACACACCTCTATGAGATCTCAACAAGTGAACCTTCTTAGGAGGATGATTGTGCTTCTCTACAAAATGCTTCATCACCCAAGTTTCATTTTTTTTTCCGAACACTCATTCGAGCTGGGCAGTTACAACGAGTCTCCCCACATTTCCGTTCCTTAGTTCCTGTCACAGCGACTCGTTTATTTTGGTACGACACATTTGTCTTCCCTTCTTTAGAGCAAGCAAACATTTTTCCCACAACACTACCAGCTTTTGGATCTTTTTGGCTGTTTTTAATTTTAGTGCTAAATCCTGCATCTTTAGCATATTCATTGTAGAAACAAAGAGCTTTTTCTGCCGACTGAAATTCTTTTCCTATTAAAGGCTTGACTGACGAATCAACCTGTGGTATGAACACTTCATCTTGCTCAATCTCCATCCTACATAAAACAAATATATTGAATGTCAAAGTTAATAAAAATAAATCTGAAATAATTACAAAAATAAAAAAAATATGAACTCACAAAACTGAGATGAACTCAGAAACATTAGAAAACTTCTTTTACATAGTTTGAATTCAATAAGGGTTACCTTATAAATTTTGAAAAAAAAANTTTTTTATTTTGCTTTATTTATCTATTTAAAATAAAGAAAAAAAAGAATTAACACATGTATTGTATTTTAATACACATGGTGTCACGTAAGAGCCACATAGGAGAAGTGCTCTATAACAAAAACAATCAGATTGTTCCTTAGAAAAACCGTTAGTTTTTATATTGTATAATCTATTCACAAAGACACCAAAAGATAAATCAATTTACTGGTGAAATAAATTTATAAATCATATATATAAGCCGATTAGTTTTATTCACACATGATAATTTCAAAGGAAAAAAAATATATGGACATTATTCAGGAATTCATTGCCATTAAATCTGATTTTTTTTATCATTTATCTAACTAATCCGATGACAACAAATCAGAATATCTTACATGATCTTTTCTATTATATCTTAGCATAAACAATATTCATATATATCTATATTGTTTCATTCTAGGTCATACTCTTCTCAACATACACGCAACTGAAGGTTATGTTCCTATTTTTCTATCGCCCTACTTCATGTTCAATTTCAATTATTTTCTAATCCATAAATAATCTATTTTTCAACAGCAGTAGATAGATAATTGAGAGTAGACAACCATGCCCAACAGTAGAAACGATGCAGTCAGAAGAACTTTAAAAAGAGATGCAATAATTCGAGGTGAAACAGAGGGTAACACAAACGGGCAGACATATGGTTATGCAGATGGACAAAACACAATTAATGTTATACCAGAAGCCCTAAATTATAATCGAGGTAATATTGTGTTTGCAGTTTTTTATATTTATCTGATGTTTTTTTGGATAAAATGAACGCTTTTATGTAGAATTTCAATTTCATCACATCAAAACTATTTAAAAATTTTATTTTAATATTTATCTAAGTGGTCATCCATATAATTTGAGTCATAACTCATAAACAGCAATGTAAAAAAAACATTTGAATATAAATTGAACTGAAAATAATTTTTATTTACCTTTTTCTTTTTTATAGCAACATAAGGTTTGGTCATCATGGTTCTTCATCTCAAAATTTCCATAGTTGATGTTGTATGTCCCAACATATAAAACATGTACAAATATAACTGTATTAGTATAGATTAGAAACTAAACATGTCAATTTTATTCTTCAGTGTGGACATGTGTTTATTTTTTGAATGACCATGGCATTAGATAATGAGCTGTGATTGTTACCTTTTTCCTGCAAATTTCTTGAGCTGTATTGAATTCTTACCAAATTTTATAGACCTTGAATTAAAATAAAACTGATTGTTAGTGATATGTAAAATTGAACACATAAAAAGCAATAGAATGCACAAATCATATAACAACAAAGTTAATCATACTATACTTTACCATTTTAGTATTAACACTCTTTGTATGATTGTGAATTTTCAAAACTCTAGAGACATCATACATTTTTCGGTTGAATTAATAAAACAATAGACAAAATATCATGATGTATGAACTTCAAATTGTCGAAAAGATCTACCACCTTCATTATCATGTAAAAAAGAGTAATTTTTTATGCATCCGTTAAAGATTTTGTTGAATTGTATAAACATTAACAAACATGCCACAGAAATTGAATGATATCCTAAAACTCATATAAAATAGTATCTACAAAACTTAGGCTAAATTCAACCCATAGTACAAAAAACAACAATAAATTGATAAAGCAGAATTAATAAAGCCTAACTGTGTGTTAATCATACTAATTTATTACTTTCAGTATCATAAACAAATATAATTCCATAGTACAGTTCAAAGATAATATAAATGTGTTCATCATTATTTTCAGTTTTATAGAAATCAAAGTCTCAGACAAGTACAAACAGGTTCTGTTATGACAATTTCATGCATATTCAAATGCAGACACATACCAATTAATAACTTAAACAAAAAAAAAGAAAAACACATATAGCTGGCTAAAAGCACAAGCCTTGAGATTTCTCAGTAGAACATTCAGTTTTTCAATTTTATTGTGAATCTCCTAAACATAGAAAACATAATGCAAGTATGCCATTATTCAGATTACATAGCATAACAATCTTTTGGCCTTTTCGGAGTTTTGTTAGGTCAAATAGAGTTCAAAATTCATAAGTACGTACCAATATTATTTCAGATTATTAAAAAAAACTAGTGCATGAGCCGTGCGATGCACGGGCTATATTTATTTGAAGAATATTATATTATAAGATGCATAATTAAATAAAAATTTTATAATAGGTAGGGAAATTGTACAATAAGATAGTATTAGACAAAGAATCAATCATATATTATTAAAGACCTCCTTGTACACAACATTATGAGTTTGATTATTTGGTCAACTCGTCATCTCACAAACTAATATCTTCAACCTTCTTCTATTAGTTACACGCGAACAACAACATATAATTGGTCATGACTAAAGACATGTTACTTTAGGAAAAGGCCTACATGTGATAAAGACTGTCCCTGACTCTTATTTATGGTCATAGCATACGAAACCATAATTGAGAACTGCCGCCGCTGGAACTTAAATGAAACCCTAGGATCAGAAGGAGTAATATTCATTCTAGGAATCAACACTTTTGGGAACTGCTGCCGCTGGAACTTAAATGAAACCCTAGGATCAGAAGGAGTAATATTCATTCTAGGAATCAACACTTTTTCGCTAGCATGATCACCCGTCAATATCTTGCATTCAAGCACATGACTGGAGTTCCTAACATTAAATGTAACTGTCAGAACTTAGTCGTGTGGAGATCTGCCAATAAGTCGTTGCCGGAATCAGACTTAGATGTACTGTCAGAACTCAAATACATGCGACCTTCTGCAGAATTCATCTCCAACATATACTAATTGATAGACTCAAGGACCTCTAACGTAGGTGCTAAAAAGCCCTATACTTCAAATAACTTGGATCGTCGGTTGAATTCTTATACATTGGATAGACACTTTATACAATTGTATCAATTGGATCATCGGAGGGATCGAGTCTAACATCATCCGGTATATCAATAGAGGCACAACCGTCATTTGATCCTACTAAAGTACCATATTCAATGCTGGCAATCCAGTCAGGAAAGGCTGCTAGGTCGTCAAGCTCGTCCGAGATAGAAATACTTTGAAGACACATATTTGTGTAAGTCGAAGCACAGTACAATCCTTCCAAATGCTAGACATTAATAGTTGCATTAACAATGTCTTAGCGACTCCCCTTTAGAATGACTGGAAGGATCTATCGGAAGTCTCCACCAAACACAATAGGCTTGCCTCCGAAGGGATTGTTACTATTAGAAGGGTCGACTGCTCCCATGACAGCCTGCAGTGATGTTTGAACAGCTTCAAAGCAATATTATTAATTCTGCAAGAGGACTTGGCTGGTTGATATTGCATGAATAATTTTCATGAACATTCAACGGAATGAGAAATCGAGAATGTGCAGTTCTTCGACCAGGCAACAAAAGTGATGCTATTCCACCCAATGCCACACAAAGAACAATTTGACCTTTTGATCGTAAAGCAGCAGATAACGTCCTCTACAAGTACGTCTTTTCAGTCTCACCATAACCTTATACAAAGAATACACCACCGATACCGAATCAACAACTTCCATAATTTTTGAATAAACCCCTTTCTGTTCGTCCGTCATTCTTTGAAGAAGGGTTGCGTGCTCCAAAGATACGACCTTCCTATCGTAATTCAGCTCATCCAATATAAGGCGGTTTGATATTGTATGAAGACTATCTCTGTCTGATAAGGCATGGAAGATATTCACGAAGACTTGAGCCACGCCTTTACAACATATTTTCAATTTCAGCAAGGGTCAGATTCTTTATAACATCATCACTGAATTCAATAAATTTTGTAAGGGTTCAAATTAAATAATGCATAATCTTAAAGAAGAACAAATCTATAAAAAAAATCACAGATAAAAGTAAAAAAATATATAAAAAAAAAAAACAATTTCAAAAATACCATTGCTATTGAACAATCGCCGCTGCCTGCAGAGAGTGTCATCTGATAACAATTGCCAACACTGTTCCCATACATCCTCAGGTCGACCCAAAGACCCAAAAACCAACAATGACGCAAACATACGTCTAAGAGACTCCGCAGATGCCAAATGACTCGCTTCCGTTATACCGCCTATATACTCTCTATCATTCTCTATCAATTGTCGTTAAAAGTAAGCATCTCAATAAGTCAAATATTGGACTTGGTTGACTTTCATGTAGTCCTCATGGCATGTAGCACCTCGAACAACATTTACCAGACATCTCAAAAAGTAATTATCGCCGCAACCAATTTGAAAGCAACATTGGCAAGTATCGTTCCACAACCGGTGAATTGAAGATCATATTGCACGGGAGCACTCAATTTTTTAAGTGCAAAGAAACTTCTCCTATATTTCGATTTGAATTCAAGGATTTTGCAACTCTACAAGATATCAACAAATTGACGAATCAATGTTATTCGGAAAGATTAATTTATTCATGTGGTGTCTAATTTTATTTGATATGTTTTAAAGAAAAAAATCAATAATAATTTGATTTTTTTTAGATGTTATTGGATTGATTATTGATATTCAAAGTGTGCAAGACAAACTAGTGAAAACTGGCGATACCCAAATGATTGCCTTCATTGTTATGGACTTGAAGTAAGTTGATTTAATTAAATCAACTTTTATATATGTATTTAATTAAATTAGCTTTTTAAATAACAAATCAATACATTAAAAAAGTTAATTTAATTAATAAACTTACTTCAAGTCCATAAGAATGAAGACAACCATTTGAGTATCGCCAGTTTTCACTTGTTTGTCTTGCACACTTTGAATATCAATAACCAATCCAATAACATCTAAAAAAAATCAAATTGTTATTCATTTGTTATTTAAAAAATATCAAATAAGATTAGAAACAACATGAATAAATTAATCTTACCGCATAACATTGATTCGTCAATTTTGTTGATATCTTGTAGAGTTGCAAAGTCCTTGAATTCAAATCGAAATATAGGAGAAGTTTCTTTGCACTTCAAAAATTGAGTGCTCCCATGCAATATGATCTTCAATTCGCCGGTTGCGGAACGATACTTGCCAATGTTGCGTTCAAGTTGGTTGCGGCGATAATTACATTTTGAGATGTCTGGTAAATGTTGTTGAGTAGCTACATGACATGAGGACTACATGAAAGTTAACCACGTCCAATAATTGACTTATCGAGATGCTTGCTTTAAACGAGGATTGTTGGACGATGATAGAGTATATAAGTGGTATAACGGAAGCGAGTCATTTGGCATCTGCGGAGTCTCTTAGATGTATGTTTGCGGTCATTGTTGGTTTCTGGGTCTTTAGGTCGACCTGAGGATGTATGGGAATGGTGTTAGCAATTGTTATTAGATGACACTCTTTACAGATGCCGTCGATTATTCAATAACAATGGTATATTTGAAATTATTTTGTTTTTGTATTTTTTTTGCTTTTATCTGGGATTTTTTTTTATAGATTTGTTCTTCTTTAAGATTATGCATTATTTAATTTGAATCCTTACAAAATTTATTGAATTTGTTAATGTATAGATTTGTGGCTCAGTGATGATGTTATAAAGAATCTGACCCTTGCTGAAATTGAAAATATGTTGTAAAGGCGTGGCTCAAGTCTTCGTGAATATTCTTCCATGCATTATCTAGACAGATATAGTCTTCATACAATATCAAACCGCCTTATAATGGATGAGCTGAAATACAATAGAAAGGCCCTAGCTTTGCAGCACGTAACCCTTCTTCAAAGAATGACGGACGAACAGAAAGGGGTCTATTCGGAAATTATGGTTGCTGTTGATTCGGGTACCGGTGGTGTATTCTTTGTATACAGTTATGGTGGCACTGGAAAGACGTACTTGTGGAGGACGTTATATGCTGATTTACGATCAAAAGGTCAAATTGTTCTTTGTGACGCATCGAGAGGAATTACATCACTTTTGTTACCTGGTGGAAGAACTGCACATTCTCGATTTCGCATTCCGTTGAATGTTCATGAAAATTCTTCATGCGATATCAACCAGACAAGTCCTCTTGTAGAATTAATAATACGATGCTCTATCATCATATGGGACGAGGCTCCGATAATGAACAAACATTGCTCCGAAGCTATTCAAACATCAATGCATGTTGTCATGAGAGCAGTCGACCTTTTTAATAGTAACAACCCTTTTGGAGGCAAGCCTATTGTGTTTGCTGGAGACTTCCGACAGATCCTTCCAGTCATTCCAAATGGGTCGCCAAGACATTATTAATGCAACTATTAATGCTTCTAGCATTTGGAAGGACTGTACTTTGCTTTGACTTACAAAAAATATGCATCTTCAAAGTATTTCTGACTCGGACGAGTGTGACGAGCTAGCAGCCTTTGCTGATTGGATTGCTAGCATCGAAGATGGTACTTTAGGAGGATTAAATAACGATTGTGTCTCTATTGATATACCAGATGATATTAGACTCGACCCCTCCAATGATCCATTGCTACAATTGTAGATAGTACCTACCCAATGTTTAAGAATTCAACTGAAGATCCAAGTTATTTGAAGGATAGGTCTATTTTAGCGCCTACGTTAGAGGTCATTGAGTCTATAAATCCGTACATGTCGGAGATGAATTATGCAGAAGGTCACACGTATTTGAGTTATGACAGTACATCTAAATCTGATTCCGGCAACGACTTCTTGGCAGATCTCCACACGTCTGAGTTCTTGAATAGCATCAAGTGATTCCGGAACATGGACTATTCTATGGGACTGTGCAATGGGACACGGTTGGTTGTGACCAAACTCTCCGCTCATGTGCCTGAATGCAAGATATTGACGAGTGATCATGCTGGCGAAAAAGTGTTGATTCCTAGAATGAATATTTCTCCTTCTGATCTTAGGGTTCCATTTAAGTTCTAGCGGCAGTTCCCACGTATGGTTTCGTATGCCATGAACAAGAGTCATGGACAATCTTTATCGCATGTTGGTCTTTTTCTAAAGAAACATGTCTTTA